CCGCGCCGGCCCGCGCCGCGCGCCCCTGCCCGCGCTCAACTCGGCGGCCGAGGCCTCATTGCCCTCTCGCAAGATGGCAGCGGCGGCTTCGCCGCGCGTCACGTGCCCGGCGGCAGGGCGGGCGGCGCCATGTCGCGGGCGCCGTGGCCTCGGCGCGGTGCCACCGGGCCCGGCGTGACCGGGGAGTCCCCGGAGAGCCCCCCGGACCGCCGGGGTGTCCCCGGAGAGCCCCCGGGGCGGCACCGCGCCCGGGGACCCCACACTGCGGCGCGTGTGAACCCGGGAGCGCCCGGGTGACCGCAGCGCAGCAGCCGCGGCGCTTTGTGCTCAACTCGCAGAGAGATGAGCGGCCTGGGGCCTGCCCAGGCCTCCCTGTAACCCTYAAACACGAAGACATCTCGTCACTTTTACATCAACTGCGGTGAAAAGCACTGGCGCCCTTGTTATAAGCCTACTGTGCGGTGAGAGTGACATTCTGAACAAAATAATTTTTCGTCATTTTCACTGGCCATAACGCCGCCCACGGTGGATGTTTGTGCGGGGTGAAGCGGCAGCCCCAGGCAAGGAGCAGGGCGGAATATGAGCGCCAGGCCGCGCCGTGCCCGCGAGCAACATGGCGGCCGCCGCCTCCAGCGCCAGCACGTGACGGCGCGCGGGCCGCGCCGCCGGCGCTCTCGCGGGAAGCCGCCGCCTCTCGCGAGACGTCGCGGCGCCGCCCTCCCCCGCCGTTGCTAGGCAGCCGCGGAGGCCTCGCGAGAGCGGCGGGCGGGGCCGGCGGCCAAGATGGCGGACGGGGCGGGTAGCAACGGGGACGCGGCGGCGCTGCCCGTGGGCAAGGAGGCGGGTGAGCGGGGCCGGGGCCGCCCCCGGGGGCAGCGAGCGGCTCCCGGCGCCCTCACCGCCCTCTTGTGTCGTTGCAGTGGAGCGGCTGATCCGGGAGAACGGGCACATCTTCACGGACGCGCAGTGCAAGGTGTGCAGCGCGCTGCTCATCTCCGAGTCCCAGCGGCTCGCGCACTACCAGGTGAGGGCCCGGCCTCGCCATCCCCTCCCCTTGGAGGCTTGTTTTGGTTGAAGGCGGTTGATGGGCACTTTTCCCTATGGAAAAGTGTTAAACRGCGTTTTGTTCTCTTGTTTTGATTGTTTGGGGTTGTTTTTTGGTGCTTTCCTCAGAGTAAGAAGCATGCCAACAAAGTCAGGCGGTACTTGTCTATCCATGGTGAAGAGGAGCTTGCACATGGGAAGAAAATGAAGCTGGATGCTAAGCAGGTAAAAAGAACAGCTTTYCATTGTGATGGTTAAAATCCGCAAAGTTGTTTGTTCCACGATGTAGCAGGCAGGGCTGGCTGCAGCGTGTGCCCTTGGAGAGGGTGCTGCCCGACCGGCGTCGCCCCGCGGCGCTCCTGTCACTCAGCCGTTTTCCATGAGCGCAGCTCCTGTTGCCGGTTGTTTTGACCAGCTGCACGTTCCCTTTTCCTGGCAGCCTTCCTGGGAGTGATGGGCACTGCGAGGGAAGGCGCGCAGGAAGGATTTTTGCTTTCAGTGAGAGTTTGTGCAGTGACCAGCTCCTGGAATTCGCTTTCCGGGAGGGGATCCATTGCACTCAGCCATCTGTCTGCCCCATGACTCATTTGGGAAACAGATTCCACCTTTATGATTGCTTCAGCTTTAAGCCCTAACCCTCCAGCATATGTAGCAGAGGGGAAGGAGTGGGATAAAAAAAGGATTCCTTTGCATGTAGTGTTAAGCTTGGAAGTGCCTGCAGTTGTCTGCTCACCAGCATCGTATTGCAGATGACCCAGTTGATAGTGATGTCTGTGTCGCTCGGCTCCCGCCTTGTGCAGGCAGGAGGGCTGGTGATTCCCACTCTGGCCATCAGGCTTTTAACCTTCTCCTTAGCCCCTGTAGGCTGTGGTTGCCCCCCTTAGCTGAAGTGTCTCGCTAGCAGCAGGAAGCAGGAGATTAATCTGAGAGCAAGTCACTGCCCAGTGAAGGTGGGAATGGTGCTGCCTCATGGAAACCCTGCTCAACACTTAAACATCCCTCATAGTCTGCTGTTGTAGATACCTAAACTGTGCTGTTTCCTCCTGTGGGCAGGACAGCAAGCAGGAGAGCAGCAGTGGGGACGACAGGAACAAGTGCTGCCCCATCTGTAACATGACCTTTTCCTCTCCGGCTGTGGCAACCTCTCATTACTTGGGCAAGACTCACGCCAAGAACATGAAGCAGCAGTCGCCCAAAGTGGAAGGTGGGTCTGTGTGCAGCACCTCTGTGCTCTACAAAGGGATGTCATTTTAGCTCAAGCTAAAAATTCAGCAGCTGAGAAGTGTCGTTGGCCTCGTGGCTTTTGTGCGTAGACAAATGCTCCTACATGTGAAATAGGGCAGTCTATAGGGCACTTGTTTAGGCTCAGCCTGCCTGGTAGGCTGGCGTTAAGGAGATGCTGGGTGGAGTTGTGCKTTGCTTGGGATAAACACAGCTTGCATCTGTGCTGCATCCACCTCTGTGCTGGGAATGGGAGAGAGCCCTTCGTAGAACATGAAGTTAAGCAGTAGAAATGTTCGTTACGGGATATGGTGCCCCCTAAAAACTTATAGGGGCTTGAAATAATTGGGGGAATGCAGAAAACACAAAGTCACTAGCACAGTTCAAAACAAMGGTGTAGCTTCTGTGCTTCAGGCATTTCTGAGCTGCAGGTTGCTGCGAGCTGGGAGAAGGTATCTGGAAGGTGTGGGTACATGTGTGTCCTGACCTCGTGCTCTTCCCCCAGCATCTGCTGCCAACCACGGGCAAGACTGGGCACTGTCCAGGCAGGCCTTGACCTGAGCCTGCAACAGCTGCCTGTGTTTCCCAGCCCGGGGTCAGCAGATAGAAAGTTCTGGTGGGTGGAGGAGCAGGGAGCAGGTAGGGACCCCCCGGAGTCCTGGGTGGTCTGCACGGCCTGTCGGGACAAAAGGAGAATATTCTGTGGCCTCTGGGTGTCCCTGAGGGTGGTCTGTGCTGGCACCGAGCTGCGGGAGCAGAGGCCGCCTGGAGCCTGCCCACCCTCCAGCCTGGGCACTTAGAAAGYTCGTCCGTCTGGTGTTAATTAGAGGCCACAGGACCTGTCTCCATCATACAGGGAAGCTTGGCTCTCTCTGTAAATTCATGAGGTCTAGTCCTGTCTGTGCTGGCTCCAAGCAAGACTCTTTGCTTCAGGATCAGACCTGCAGTTAGACGGCGTTGGCAGAAACCTGCTTGTCCTCCCTATAAAGGGCTCTGCTTTTCTAAGTGCGTCCTCCTTTCTTTGCCTGGCTGGTAACAGCAGGAGGGAGATAATCTGTGTCATGTATTTGCATAAAACTATGCCTATGTTAACTCTAATAAGGACAAGTATACAAATCTCTTTTTTCTTTCTTTTTTAACCTTAGAAGTACTTCTGTTCTGGCCTACTCTAAATTGTCTTACTGCATGCTTCTGATTCTGGAGTGTTAAGGGAAGAGATGGGAGCAAGGTGAATATATTTAAGAGATCTAACATTCTCTGTCTAGCATTGTTTTGTTTTTGTTTTTGTTTTTTTTTATTATTTTTTAGTATGTATTGGAGGGCGATTAAATGATTTCTTTTTACCTCCAAGTTCTGTGGCTGATTGACAATTCTGATTCACCCTACAGATGTGATGTCCTCCCAGAAACATCCTGCTGCCCTCCCTGCTTCTACCGGGTCCTCTAATCAAGAGAACAAGGACATTACTGACCCAGACAAGTTCTGTAGTCTCTGCCACGCCACTTTCAACAACCCCCTCATGGCAAAACAGCATTATGTAGGCAAGAAGCACAGAAAACAAGAGACCAAACACAAGCTGATGGCACACTATGGCCGAACCCCCGATGCATCCGCGTCGTCCTTCATGGGTGAGTTCCTAGCAGTCAGGTTAATAAACTGCTGGAGAGCAGAGTGGGAGAGTGACAGGATGTGTCTGACAGGTCTCTGGGCCACATGGTCCACGTGGAGGGAACCAAGGAGATCTGCTCCTGATGGGGGATAGTGACTCTTCAGTGTGAGGTTGATTTGGGTGATGCTGTAAACGCCTGGCAGCAGGAGAGGGGCCGGGGCTGCAGCTTTGGGCTGTGTTCTGTGGTGCTGTCTGGTTGGGGACGTCCCTTTTATCCTCCCTGTGGGTAGCACAGGGATTTTGGCCAGTACTGTTTCCAGCTAGGTGGATTGTGTCCAAAATGGAAAGATAAAAGTGACGTTTGATTTCAAAAAGAAAAGAAAAAAAAATCTTCAGAAGGGACCAGCCAAAGATGGAAGAAAAATAGGTTTAAACTGCAGCTGCTGCTTCAAAGAACATGAAAGCCAGAGAGATTTCTGCCTTTTTGCCTCTGTGTGGGCACTTCCATCTGATGAACTAATGTAGCTCTCTCTGAAGCAGGCAGGAATGTGAAAAATTGAGCTATTAAGGAGGAACTTTAGGCAGACAGTTAAAACTCTTCACTTGGTTTATGATCTGCTGCTTATGAGTACTCCTAAGTGTTGAAAGCTCTTGGAGGCCAGTGAAAGCATTAGGAGCCCACAGTAAACTTCCTTGTGCTTCTCAGCAGCCCTCTGTTGGACGAGGAAATCTGGTACCTGCTGGATGCTTGAGGTAAAAAACAAGCAGATAAATTGTCGTAAAATCCTCTCCAAGGCTTCTTTCTCTGTCACAAAAGTCCCCTTAAGCAGAAGATTATCCTAATTCTTGGCAAGCCACCTTTAGATATTGGTAGCACTTATGAGAAATGAGGCTCAATTATCCAGTGTTTTCTCCCACACTGCCTAGTCATGTGGGAGGTTGTAAAGGTGCTTTATATCTAGTGTTATCCATCTGTCTTTGCTTAATTAGTGGGGCCTGATCAATGGCTCCACATTCTTGTGACTCAGGATGTGACAGTGGCAGAGCCCCAGCCTGGGTAAGTGGGGAGTCCTGTGTCCCTGCTGTCTTCTGTGAAGCACTTGCAGAATGAAGCGATGACCTCCTCATCCTCTTGGCACTTGAGCTGTTCCAGACAAGGTTCCAGAGCTCCAGCTGTAATCGGGAGCTGTTCCAGTGTAACCAGTGGCTCAGAGGGCTTCCATTAGGATGTTTCCTCCTGCTCATTTTGCCCCTGTCCATTTGCTGCCAGCTGTGCCAAGCTGTGAGATTTCTCCCCAGCACACTCCACTTGGTTCTCTCTCTTAYAAAGCTGAGCTCGGATTCTGATTTTTATTTTCTCTGAGGTTGCTGGTGTCTTTCTCTGGCGTGTCCCATGGCTCAGCCTGTCTGCTGGGAACTGGTAGCAAGTAAAGATGTTCTTCATAGAGCACCACCCAGACCTTGTCCCCTTAAAGKTCCTCCAGGAACCACCTGCTCCCCCAGGGGTAGGAGTGCACTTTAAAGGACTTGCTGCACATGCCAGTTTGCCAGACTGGCAGCAGAGATCTTGACCTTGCCATGCAGGGGGTGGATGTGGAGGCTGTA